TGAAAAGAAAATTTTCTTCTCTGTTCACGTCTTTTCATATGACTCAATGCATATGTGCCGACCATACTTGATTTACACAGCACGCGTGTTACCAAGGCCGAGCTTTTGCTTTCCTCGACTGGCAATGTTAGCCAACATAGACTTAGGTTGGAAAAAAGTTAAGAGGGATCAAACTAAAAGCCGTCATCAATCCATGAAGACCTTGACAACTGGTTTGAATCAGCCATGTAAGGAGAGGTGTAGGCTGCTTGATTGGTGTCCTCGGTATACTAAGGAGAAAAAAATGTCTGAAGACTCACTGACATATGGCTCAAAACCGTTCTCAAGTGGTGCAGATGCATTCCACTCTTTGTAATCTCTCCCATATTCACTAAGTCCTCCTGTTTTTGTCGCGTTCCTATTTTTCTTCTCCGTACACTTCTTCTCATTATAGTTCCTTTGAATTTCTTTCTCTTTTCACTACATTTATGTGCTATACGGAGTGTGGCAACTTATAACCGGTGCTCTTCTGTGCAAAGTTCTCTGTTGAAACTTAGTCAGTCAAAATGTATTGCTTGTGTTTGTGTGTGTGCCCTACGAATATGCCACTGTTCGAACCGAAATAATGTTTTCATAGAAGAAAATAATAGTAGCAATACATTAACACTAAGAATGAAGTATTGTATAACTAACTTGCCTCATAGATATGACTACTATTCATTATTACTATAATTATTATTGTTTTTTTTGTTTGTTGACGAAAATAGTCGACTGATTATGTAACAAAACTCAGTATCTCATTCTTATTTCCACATAACTCTCTCTAGCAATTGTAACTTTAGTTTATAATTCCCATGAGAAATAATCATACTTCAACTATTTCAGTACTATATCGTTATTATTATTATTGTTACTAAATGCTTTCTCAGTTGGTTGGGTGTTTTACCCCTCTAGATCATGAACAACTCGAATATATATATATATATATATATATATATATATATATATATATGAGCATAACGAAACTCATGAAAATGTCCTTCTGTACACACGATAAAAAGTAGAACATTTCAGATAACCTTTTTTTAGGTATTGGTTTGTAGGAATTTGGTTGATTGGTTACAGGATTTCATCATGAGCTGACATTGGTTAGAGAACAAATAATCGCCGAAGACATTGGCTAGCGGTTGCGCTATATCGTGAATTGGCAGCAGTTAGAATTCATGGGCCATTGGGTTGGGTCCCAGTGGCTTAATGGTATACGAGCTGGCTAGCCTTGTAACCAGAAGGTCCTGAGTTCGAACCCAGGGGGTGCGTACTGATGAAGAGTCCCACACTAGGACGAAACGGCTGTCCAGTACTCTCTGCAGGTTTTCCAATGGTTCTCGAACCAATGTCAGCCCATGATGAAACACTGTAACTAACCTTTTTTTACTGCAGTTCTTCTTCTTCCTAGCATGAATTTCCTATTATCCAGTCTATTTTTAAGAGTTTTTGTGTCCTTTATTTTTTCATTCATGCGATAACCGATAATAATTTTCATGCCATATGAACAGCTGGTTGGTTGCTTGGTTCCATTGAATGCATTTCATACATATATCAGTTGTCAAGTTGTTTCATTACCACTGTTTTGTGATGTAAAGTCTGATCACATACACTTCATCCAGCTTAATGAGGTTTTTTTCCCGTGTAAATTGATATTGGAAATACACGGAAAAATTTTCGTGTGACAGTTACAGGTTTACTGAGTAATAAATATGCTCTAGACTTTTAAGTGACATGCTCCTGCATTCAGTTTTGATAGGTGGTTTCAAATCAAGTGAAACGCGTTTCTGTGGTCCTCTTCTTCTTAGTCTTTATCGATTGATTATTTTTCTAGCCTTGATTATCCCCTATGTGAAGCTTTGAATAATAATAATAGATTGATAATCTATGACCTTGACATTATCAATAATGCATGCATTATCAACATCTCGCCTCCGCCACCACCTTCCAGGTTGTTGTAATTCTTTTCTTTTTATCACTTTAAATGAATTTGAATTGATTGATATACAGAGACAGTCCTTATTCTCATTTAATAAAGCCTAAATCAATCCTGACAATTGAACAATGAATTTTGTTTAAATTTAAGCCGTTGAATCAGGCAGAGACTAGACAGAGACAGTCAAGATATAAAAATATTGCGTGATATCATTATTTATTCAAAGTCGTCATTATTCATCAGTGTTATATATATATATATATATATACTACTGTTATTCAGGTATTCGACAATGTTTGTGATATTCGAGAGGTAGAAAAACATGTAGATTATTAAGCATGAGTGTGTCTGGGTGTTTAGCCTGCCTTTTCTGTTCAACTGAAATTATCCATAATGAAATTAAGACTGACAGTGTATTGTAAACACTGAAATGCTATAGATAAACTATTCTGGTTTTAATGTTGAATTTGTGAAAATTCGATTGATATCAAGGCAGATTTTTGCGTGAAGTGACATCAGTTAGATGACCATAGAAAATCAGGGAGTATTAGACAAGTGTTTCCTTCTGGTTTGAGACTGTTCAACATATTCCTGCCCCCCCCTCAAGGGGTTGGACTCAGTATCTTCAGGTTGCGGGGTGAACGCGTTATTACTTAGCTGCCGTGTTGGAATCCAGTAGTTTATGAATTCTTGTTTGCACTGATAGATACGCAGAATCATGATCTTTACTTTAAAGGACCTTCCAGTTAATTCTTATATGCCATTCCAAACAAAGTTTAAATAGATTGTGTAACATTCAGACAGGTTCGTACTGATTGATTGATCTCAAGGTAGGTTTCATTGCAAACCAACATCATTCAAATAGCCAGTAGAAATCCGGAAGCTTTGGTTTTCCTTTTTCATTCCCTTATGTTTCCAGTGGTAAATAGGGTTCGAGGCTTGAAGCGTTGAAGTTTCCATAGCCGTAATTTTGGTTTTACAGGGTGCGGCTACTAGGCTTACTCTTGGCCTTCCCTCTTTTTCCGACTTACTGTAGACAGATGAACTGGATGTGGTTTAAGAGTGTGTTGGCCGCTAATCGAATCATCCCTTTGCTCAACACTCTTCCAGAATGCACACTGACTATCTTATCAACGATCAAACCCAAAATCTTTAGGTTGTTGATGATCAGTAATGAGAAAAAAGGAGTTTTATAGTCCTTAAGGAATATTTGAAGTTTGAAAAATAAATAAAAAAGAGTTGTGTTATGTTCCTAAGGAAGTCGATGGAGATTCAGCCATACCTTAGGAATGACTGACAATTCATCAATTCTTGATGTTAAGTCTTCCTTTAGCGTCAACTCATGGAACATAGAATGCAATAGAAATTATTATTTTCCAATCTGCACAATTTTTTGTTGTTGTAGACCATCATTTTTGTATGCATTTTTTGCGTATGTATGTGTGTGTGGCTGATTTACCCAAGGGGAGCAGCAGACGCCATACAAAGAAATTCTCTTCTCTCTCATTACTTCATGAATTGTATAAGCTGAAATAAATTATTCGACACGTTTCGAACTTTTTTTCTCTATATTATGGGTCATGATGTTTTAATAACTTTGTATTGACTTTTTGTCTTCATTTGGGTATTTTCGTTTGTTCTGGTCCAGTTACAAAGAAGGTTCTTTTATTTAGAATGGATTAACTTATATGTACTTATATGTAATAAATACATGAACTTTGATGTCCATAGAGTAGTGTAATCTTACAGAGTAAATTTAGAAAAGACATGCGTCAAATGAAGAATACAGTGAGTTGTGTTCAGTACTGTTTAAGCTATCAAGAGAAGTCTTGACTAAAGTAACAGATCACTAGTAGTGTGCTGTGACTCTCAATTTGTTTGAACATTCGAAATTCTGGTTTCAATACCATGAATGTAGTGAGGTATTTGTACACAGCGTTAGTTAAAGCCTTCGTCGACGGGCTATGTTAGCTGATATAGGGTCAGGCTGGAAAAGAGCTAGCGGAGGTCAAACCAAAACATGGCACAAGTCAATCAAATCCACAACAATTAGTCTAAGCCAGCCACGTAGGAAGGTGTAGACTTCCTAACCGGTTGAGGTCCTCAGGATGGTAAAAACCAATGAAGGTTGGAGACAATTGGTGATAGGACTCAAAAGCGTTCTCAAAGGCTAGCGCAGACGCATCCACTCCTTGTGACTTATGATTTCCAATGAAACTATATTATTCTTCGTTATTACTATTCCTTTGTCTCACTCCTCTGTTTACTGTCTCTATGATGCATTTCTTGTACTTTCTTCTGTTGCTTTGTGTGCTAAAAGGAGTGGAGTGTGGCGACTTGAACTGGTGCACATCGGTGGAAAGTTCTATGTCGAAAACAGACAGACAGACAGACAGACAGACAGTCGGGAATGAAGAGCGTTTCATTGATATATGTATATTCTAGTTTATTTTTAAATATACGAAGTCAGTTTTGAGCTAAATAGCTAACCTCAAAATTGAGTGATTCTCTAGAGTTGAAAATTGTGTTCAATGCACCTTAATTGACGAATGTGTGTTCTCAAGACTTCTCTTCTAAACAAACTTCTAACATCCAAAATTTAGAGGAATGTCCTGCCACTCGTTACATTTTGTGATCAGCAGCGTCAGTGGCAGAGCATTTATGACGCTCGCCGACTCTGCACATGGTACGGGTTTCGATCTCCAGCCACGGACCACTCATTTACCTCTCTAAGCCAGAAATAAAAGCGAGTAAAGAGGAAAGGTTGGGCATGAGGCTAGCAACTCCATCCTGTAAAATAAACACTGCTGTAGAAACTTCAAGCCACTAGCTTGAGGCCTTATGTTCCACTGGGGAACGTGAAGGAAAAATAATGAAAATAGTTAGAACTACGGCCCATACCATTTATGAGTTTGTGGATGCTTCAATGTTGAATAAATTGCTGTTATTATTATTTCTATTATTGCATTAGACTTTCTAATTGTTTTCTCTATTCATCATACATATTCTCTGTGTCTTTGAATGCCGATTCTCATTATAGGTAAAAGAATATATGCCAAATTTTGTTTTACGATACCAACGGGAAGATAATGGTATCTGGTATGAACATGTAAAAAGTGATGGTACACGAGTAAGTAAATATATTTATAATGAGACATCAAAAATTTAAATGTTCATTTGGTCTTTCGACTTGTTTGTTTATTATTATTTTAAAAAAAACATTATTATTATATAGTTTCATTTCTCTCATTAATAATAATGTGATGAGTCGTCTTCTCTGTATATATATGCATATATTGTTTATCGGTTGTAAAACGGAATGACCTTATTTTATTGTCTTTATGATGATGACGGTGATGATGATGATGATAGAATGGTCTATGAATGAATAGGATGCTCTCTCTCTCTCTCTGTATGTTTTTTCTCTCAGTATAATAAATGTAATGTGACTTTATTTCTAGAAAGATAAAATTTGAAACAGAAAATGAAGTCCATGGCGTGGGACTATTAGGCGACATGAGAGAGGTGGAGTCGGGCCGGGGTGGGGGGCGGTTGACTGTGATGGGTGGCGTAGGTTGCTGTTCTTGTTGTTTCGCTTATGATGATAATCATCTATGGTAATTAATTACGCCTTATCGTAATTTCTCATACCCGAAAATTATTTAAATATGTCTCATACGTATAGACGATTTCACAGATAAGTGAATTAGCCTTATGTGTAGTCAAAGGGGTTGAATGTAAAGTTGAAGATTGAATTGTTCCTTTCTGTATTTCAGTGGATTTAAAACTAATTACTTTTAACTGCAAGCGCAGGACTTCTACTTGAAGCATCTTATCCTTCTCTACCTCATAAAAGACCTACTGAATGAGATGCTTATTATATTATCTATGCTACTTACAGGATTTCATCATGAGCTGACATCGGCTGGAGAAGTTGTGACCATTGTGTTACAGCAGGTCGTGTGTGAGAACAGGCACTCCCCAATGCCATTGGTTAGTAGTTACACTATATCATGAGTTGGCAGAAGTTGGGATTCATAGGCTGGCCATTGGATCAGATCCCAGTGGCTTAATGGTCTACGAGGTGGCCTCGTAACCGGAAGGTCCTGAGTTTGAACCCTGGCAGTGGGTGCGTACTTCAGAAGAATCCCAAACAAGGACGAATCAACTGGTTGTCCAGTACTCCCCTCTGTTTTTCCAATGGTTCTCTAACCGCTGTCAGCTCATGATGAAATCGTGTAACCAATCAAATGAATTCACTGCAAACCAATACTTGACTATCTTTATTACTCAAATGTTTTCAAATCGTTAAACCTGAACTTATTTCGGAAATGTATACGTATGTTACAGCTATTACTATTCGTTCCTAAAGGAGATATACATTGTAGAGAAAACTATTACTCTTTTATTTAAGTTAATTTTGGACCAAAATGTTTGGCGTCTGTTGACAACAGGAAAAACAAAATTAACCTGAAAACAAATAGTTAACTAATACCCGTTGTACAAGAGATGGCTCTTGCAACCCAAATGGCCTAGTAGATAACGCTTTGGCGTTTGAAATGATGGGTGCTGGGTCCAGATAGCAATGGAAACACTATCACTCACTAGGCACTGCAGAGGTACACCCATTGACGAGTACCAAATAGGAAGAAATACACATCCGAGATCCCATTACTATTTACCATCCATCAAAAACTGTTACTTCAGCTTCTTCATCGATTTCAATCACAGTTCATTAGTTAGACGTTCGAGTTTTAGGCAATTACTATCCAAGTCAATGCTGAAAAGACTTACTTTTCTATTTACTATGATTATATGTTTCAAAGTGGTTCAATGCTCTGATATTGTAACTAATTTTAGAAGTTTCATTAGTATCAGTGGGTTGATACCTAACAAACTCTCAGCACTGACAAAAAGTGTTGATCTAAGACTTAAATACCACGGTTATGACTACCACTGGCAAGATATTTAGTGGTCTAACGTGATTCAACTTCTTAAACTGATAACTCAACAGTGATCATTTTAATTTTGTCTGCTCCTACGCTTTAACTTAAACTTATCAATCAGGCAAAGCGATTCATCATTAGTGTTTACTTTTAATTAGTTTGAGATACTTGATATCAGTTGGTTTGCTAAGCATATTAAATAATGAAATAATGTTATTTATGTGGTAGTGAATACTGTCTTACTACTAACTTGAAGTTATATGCTACTACAGCCCCTTCAGCTTGTGTGCGTCGGTGGCTCAACGGTAGGATGCCAGCCGACCACGCATGTGGTCCGTGGTTCGATCCCCGGCCGGCACACGCCTTTACCCCTCCTAGCTGGCTGTAAATCTGACAAAGAGGGAAGTTTGGACTTGGGGCTAGCAATCCCCCTCCCCCTCTCAAAAAAAATCACCTCTGCTACTGAAACTTCCAAGCTCATTCTTGAAGTCCTATATTCCACTCGGAACTCAAAGGAATACAAAAAACAACCTTCAGCCTACACACTCATTAGTGTTAGACGGTTGGGAGCGGTCATCTGGATGCCCCTGATCAAGGTTTCGTGTTTGTTAACACACTTTTTCATCACTTCGCCTTCCGAGCTTTGAAGTCGTATTTTACGAGGTGGGATTGCGAATCTCACACTCAACCTTCCCTATTTATCAGCTAAGGGAAGTTTAGGAGTGAGTCGGCCGTGTATAGTTGGCGAACATTTCACTATTGAACCACCTGTACATATATATATATATGTTTAATACTGATCAACATACATCCCTTGTTTTCAGTGTTAATTAGCATCAAAACTGGGTTGAGGAACTTCCTGTCACTGGTCCAGAACCAAATATCATTATTTACTTTTATTGTATCTACTGAATGCATTAATTTCATCATGATGTAAAAGACTGAACTCTTTTTTCTTCTTCTTTTTTATACTTTCTCTATTATTTCTATGCGTAATTAGGTGCTTAAAGCAAATAGTGATCCACGAAATATTGCTAGGACTACACTTGATTCAGTTGTTATCGCTAAACGTATACGCATTTATCCCTATAGCCATCGATCGAAACAACAAGTATGCCTACGATTCGCACTGTATGGATGTAATTTCCCAGGTGAGTTAATATGTACCTTTTTTCCGAGTATGTGTTCTCTTCTTGCCTGCATTCAGATATGCATAGAGATTTTGTTTTATCTTCTTTTCGCAATTCAATTTAGTCAGGTTGGGAATATTATCACTCTAACACCTCTACTGTATGTAAATGTGACCCACAGCATAAACCATGGGGTGTATACTATGTGCGTACCTGGTTGGTCGGTACAACTTCTCTCTACACCATAAAAGAAAAATGAGATGTAGATGGAAAAGTAGACAGGGAAATACACAATATTGTGAAGTTGGGCAAATTATGTACAATAATTTAATAATTCCCATTGTAGCATTAAGAACACAATTTTCAGCGAAGAGACTCTTTTCAACGAATTTATTATCAAGCTGTACAATCGTATATATATGGTTTTATAAAGAAATTATATCCGGTGAGAGAATTAGGTCAAACTAACTAATTTTTACAGTTGGGTGCCTATTTCCAGGAAAAGGAATTTAATCCATTCACTCTGCTTTAGGATAAGGAAAATTTGTAGTTCTGATTGCGTCGACTCAGAACTTGACTTCCTGAAAGCCACACTCGCAGAAAACGGTTACCCTAACCGATTTATTGACAGCAACATGAAAGATAAGCAGTCTAAACTGGTCACTGACTCAGTTCCAAAGAAAACCCTATTCGTGAACTTGGAATTCAAAGGAGATCAAGCTTCTGATATGCTCAAAAATCGTCTTTCTAAATCAGTTAGTAAAACGTTCCCTGCAGCTAGATTACATATGACGTTCACGAGCCGCAAACTGTTCTCTACCTCTGTAAAAGATAAGCTCCCCCGTCTGACCGCCTCCATGTGCATCTACCAGTTCACCTGCTCTTGTGGAGCAAGGTACATTGGCCGTAGTCAGAGAATGCTCTCCACACGGATACGAGAACATATTCCAGCTTGGTTTTACAAGGGAGAAAGGAAATGTGTGCGAAGCTCTATCTTAGAACACCTCATCGACTCCTGTCACTCGGTCAACCCTGACCATGATTTCAAGGTCATATATAGAATTCATGCCAACTTCCCGCGTTTTCTTCGTTACAGACTTCTAAAGACAGCTGAGGCCTTGGCAATTCATGACTTTAAGCCAGACCTTTGTGTAAAAAAGAAGTATGTACAATCCCTACTGCTGCCTTGGCCGTAGAGGGATAGACATTTATTTTTTTTATTATTCTATGTATTTTTCCCTTATTACTTCGATTATTTTTTTTTTTACTCCCCTCTTTTTTATTTTTTTCTTTTTTTTCTTTTTATTTTTTAAAAAAAAAAATTATTTTTTTTTAATTTTTTTTTTTTTTTTTTTATATTAAATTATATTTTTTTATATTTTACACCCATGTTACGTAACATTTTATATTCGTCTAATCTTACAATTATATGCCTCTCCCCCAAATCTATACACCTGATGTATTATCTTATATATGACATTAATTATTGTTCCACTTGACTTAAACTATGAACCTAATCACAAATATTTTAAATTTATTTCATACTATTATTATTTCATGTATTTACACCTTTGACCTAATTCCCTCACCGGATATAATTTCTTTATAAAACCATATATATACGATTGTACAGCTTGATAATAAATTCGTTGAAAAGAGTCTCTTCGCTGAAAATTGTGTTCTTAAATTATGTACACCCTATCTTCAAGTCACCATTTGTACAGATCTTTGGTGTTATTCTACTTCTGTCCTTCATATTGTGTTTCTGGGTGATCTTTCCACGTCTCCCATGTTTCTACACAACGCTGTATCATTTGCTTTCTCTGACATCAGACATATCTCCCTGCTATTTGATGTTGTTTTATGCCGATGGACATCTCCTTATATACTACTCATAAATTTTATCAGTAGCACGCACTACAATGATACTTCGGTGTGATGACATAAATGAAGTAAACACTGAATTCTTTCCTTTTTTACTTGTTCTCCTGTTTGCCCACCTTTTATATTTTAGCTTTGAGGTTAATTCATTTTCAATAAAATAGTTCCAGTATCCATTCATAGTTAGATTTGAGGTGGGTATGTTTGTCTGTCTGTTTTAGACATAGAACTTTCCACCGATGTGCACCAGTTCAAATCGCCACACTCCACTCCTTTTAGCACACAAAGCAACAGAAGAAAGTAGAAGAAATGCATCATAGAGAGAGTAAACAGAGGTATGAGACAAAGGAATAGTAATAACGAAGAATAATATAGTTTCATTGGAAATCATAAATCACAAGGAGTGGATGCATCTGCGCCATCACTGAGAACGCTTTTGAGTCATATCACCAATTGTCTCCAACCTTCATTGGTTTTTACCGTCCTGAGGACCACAACCAGGAAGTCTACACTTTCCTACGTGGCTGACTTAAACTAACTGCTGTAGATTTGATTGACTGGTTCCATGTTTTGGTTTGACCGCCGCTAGCTCTTTTCCAGCCTAGCCATATGTCATCTAACATAGCCCATTATCGAAGAAGGTGATGGCTAGACAGGTATACATAACACATATCTTATCCATCTCAGTCGGTGTAACTTATCAGCCTCGTCGATTGATTTCCCCTCCCTCCTTACCTAGCACTCGACGCTTAACCTCAATATTGCTCACCTTATTATACCAATTCATACGTGAGATAGAGCGCAAGCACCTATGATCAAAGATGGGTGATAGGATTAAACGAAGTTTAGGGTAATACTGATATTGGTTGGTAGTTGCGTTAAAATCAGCAGTGCTGAAATAAGCTGGAAAGTATTAAATCTTTGGATTCTTACCTTTTGATTGAATGGTTTTAAGTTTAGTTCGGGAAATTCTATTGCTTCAATCATGCATGTGTGTACCAATTAATAATTCCCAAACCTTGAAACACCTGGGTCTGATATATCAATATATATATGATGAAAACGACCTTAAAATAACTCTGAGATCTGTGATTATACTATGATAATAAGTCTTCATATGTCATCTTTTCTTTGTTAAGAATCACTTTACTCTAATTGCTTTAGGAGACAATGAACTTCCTATCTCATATCACAACTATTTTAATTCTTCCTTTGGAAAGAGACACTTGGTAAGCTGAAATGACTGAAAACTTTTGTACATATATCAAACGAAGTATCGATCGAATGAGTACAATAGAATATTAGACGTGTCCTGTTTGAAGTCATTCAGACTGGTTATTCATATTTGGCGGTGAAAATTAGTTTAATCGATGTCGCCACATATCGCGCTTATGATATATATATATATATATATATATATAATGGGAAAAGAGTTTATTATCATTTATGTGGAACATGAGTAATTTTTCACGGTTTTTTTTATTGCCTTTGATCATGAAAGGGAATAAAATTGTTGAATATATATAGAGAGATATATGTATAATTTTAATTGTGAGACATAAAAATGACGACTATTTGTTTATCATTTTCAGTGATGGGATTCCTCATTTTGAGCAGACTAATACACACACACACACACAAGCATATACATATATATACTCATATATCCTGTTTATTTGTGTGAGATAATATCAACTTTCAGTCGCCTTAGGTACATCATTCCAGTTCCCCTCTAACTAACTCTGCATCCCTTCTAGCCTTCTTTGTTGATGGAAATACTGTTTATGACCTCCTTCTGTGTGTGTGTGTGTGACCTAGTAAATATATGTATTATAGTGATTTGAAATGTGAGTCATTCGATTATCGCTAAAAGCATAAGACATCATGATGATGCCAGTCATTTAGCTTATGACTAATATATCAGTAGTATGTATTAGCAATTCGTCAATAAGTAAATAAGTGGTAAGTAGGCGCTATCATCTCTATCTGTATTGTATTCATATTAGTGTAGATATGTTAATTAGGTCATACGACACTATATATTATTAGATAACAGTATAGTCACATTTCAAAAGCCAACACTGTTAGACTTCCCGTTTAAGATGATGACCTGACCTCTTTAATCATCTAAATTGATGAATATGTGATAAATAATGTCAGATGTGTATACACATATAAAGTGTACATAACATCATTTATCATCTTGACAAAAATCCTATATGATGATATGATTAGTATTCAATCTCAATTGTATATTTGTGTGTGCGTCTATTGCTTACTATGTCATTTGTTCATGTAGTAGCGTATAAACGTTATGGTCTTTTACGTGTGTATGCCTGTGTGTGTGTGTGTGTGTGTGCGCACTTATACTGAACTGAAACCAATATTGCTTAATTAACAGAACATTTATATTATCATTCGGTAAAATGTATCGCATATTACAGCTGTCTATATAATTTACAAAAATAAATTACTGATACAGTATTAGAATTTGATTGATTTAAAATTCTTTGAGATTTTGAAACGAAAGGTGTTGTTAGTGTTTAGTGTTAAGGATAAACAAAATATGTATATATTCAAAATGTACACGGATGTCATTACTATATATTAACATTCCTTTTATACACATGTGTGAACAAATTTTTAAATGAATCAAATTACTGAACTTGACTAATCAAATACTCTGATAAGGGTTATAGTATCTCATTCAGTTATCAACATACTTTGTTATTACGAGTTTAACGACGGATTGATGTCAGTTAGAGAACCACTGGGAAATCAGGGTGTACTGGACAGCTGCTTCATCCTAGTTTGGAAATCATCGGCAGTACACGCCCACCACAGAGGGTTCAAACCCAGGACCTTTCGGTTACAAGGCAAGCTAGTTCGTATACCATTCAGCCACTGGGATCCGACTGTTCAATGGTCAGCCCGTGAATTCTAACTTCTACCGATTCGTGATTTAGCGCGATCATCAACTAGTGTCATCGGTGAGGATTGATTTCCCACCTGTGAAATTGGTTGATGATCGCGCTAAATCACGAATCGGTAGAAGTTAGAATTCATGGGCTGACCATTGAACAGTCGGGTCCCAGTGGCTGAATGGTATACGAACTAGCTTGCCTTGTAACCGGAAGGTCCTGGGTTTGAACCCTCTGTGGTGGGTGTGTACTGCCGATGGTTCATAAACTAGGTTGATGAAACAGCTCTCCCTGGACAAAGCAACTCTTGGAGATACTTAACTTTATTGTGAAGTTCTTAACCAACGTCGATGGAGAATAACTTCTGTTTCTGTAGAGCACGTATGTGTCTAGGTTGCCAATTAGTTACTCTGTTTGAACGACTTCGAGCTCGTTTCCGGTTGGCTTCAACTAGAAATAAAACAAGAAAGTTTTGTGAGTAGCTTGATATGATTATGAGCAAAACTTGGTCATCCGTAAGTATTACTGTATAACATTGTGACCTAATCAAAATAAATTTTATTCATAATAGAGTAGAAATAACGCTCATGATTCCTGTGTGGCCATCTATTCTGCTAGACCTTCCTTTGGTCACACTACATGGTGACTTTATAGCTTGGCACATCTAACCTGGTGTCCCTGCCGCTCTGAATACGCCCCCAACTGGTGAATGGAAAATCTAATACTTACATCTGTTCAAGGATGTAGTTATTGATGATAGTATAAAGAGAATATAGGGATACACAATGCAGCAGATGCGCTCTTGTCCCTTGAAAATCCAATTGTCCACAGTTTGATTTAACCAGTACAGATAAATAAATTGATTGTTGAAGGTGAAATAGCTAAGGTTAAGTTGAACTGACGAATTTCTTTGATCACCTAAAAGTGGAAAGAGACTACAAGTTTTCCTGGGTCATAATAGACGGCAAGTTAAAAAATATTTTAAGCTCTGTTCAGTGATAAAGATCATTGTGACTGCGGACAAAATGTGATAAATTACTCATCTTGGAAAAGTTCGGTCCTATCTCTACTTTGCTAGTGACCATCAGAGAAATATGTAGAAGTCTAATGAAACGAAACTGTTTCTTTCGAAGTTATGGGTGCAAGAAAAAGTCTGACAGCATAAGCAGAGCATAACAAACAGAAAAGATAACCTCAATTTAAGCTAACAAAGAGTCTACGTATTAATTCAAAGTTTTGGCCGACAGTGAAAGCCAAAGAAATGAAGATGATAGATGAGGATAGATCACATCACACTCAGTTTGGTGGGATTGATTCGATAGAAAGTTTCCTCTACTTCTCCAGTGCTAAGGTTTCTGTTAGGCTTTGTAATCGTAATCATAAGTCGTTTCATTTTGGAATGATGGGTCAAATATGCTTCTGATCGACAAAATGCAATTGCACATGGACTGGTGTCCTTGAATTACATTTCCATAGGATATTAGTTGAATAATTAAGTTAACATTTTACTATGGAGGGTACATTTTTGAAAGTGATTTATCTTTTAAAATTATACTGCCATTACATTTCCATTCTACGGTCTGACAGAATGTTCCCCATTGTTTCGTGTGAATAGTCCCAATTACTTGGTAATATTTACAGTATCTAGCAGATCACACATTATTCATATGGAAGAAACCATAATAAGATTTAACGTCGAGTTGTACACTTTGGAAATAACCTCATTTCTCTCACTTATATGAGCAACCGGGAATAACCTGAATAATTTAGCCATAAAGCCTGATTTTGACACCGGTTCAATTCTCTTAGGGAACATGACTTTTCTTAGGTTGGATTAAGACAATGTCCCTTTTCGGATACTGATATCCGTAAATCGCTTTTAAGTAAGCTTTCCACACAGACCCTGATTTAAGGACGGATTAATTGGGTTCCCCGGTGGATGGGCTTTTAATGACACTAATCCGGTTCCTACAATTATTCAATGCATACTGAATCTTAGCTCATCGGTTTACTTCTTTGAGGGTCACCAAATTTTGTTCTTATTTCTGAATGGCTTATTTTGAAATGGCTCTTTTAATACGAGAACTGTCTGCTAAAGGATCATCAGAAATCAAGATTGCATAGAATGTTACGTCAGGAAGATGATTTAATCGATGGAGTTGTGAAGCCTTAGGTATTCAAATAACTGAGACATGTAATGTGCAAATCTAGCCACTTCCTTCTTCAACAAGCGATGTTAACTGAAGTAGGATTACTTCGGACAGGGTTTAGAGGTGATCATTTCGGAAAATTGCACTCATTGGTGATCTAAGAAACTTAAGAAGGCTCAAACGTAGATGTATGATCCTGGAGATTCAGAACGTCTTCTTTGCTCATCATTAAACTGTCACCTTCTTCATACCTTTTTCTTATCTTAGTATCACTACATGTACTTAAAATGTAATAAGTCGAACTGATGCACTTGTGTTTAAGTTTCTGTGCTAACTCTGAAGTTTGTATGCTGAACATGGATGGTACAGTTTGGTTACTTTGCTTATCAGCTACATTTTTTTTGCTCACAATAATATTTCATTATCATAATCTACTTCATACAATTTCAGATGGTGTCACTTCCTATTCAATGCCTCAAGGTGATACAGTCACATATGGTCGACCATTATTTGGCTCACTGTATTCAGTACCTCATAGTTTTCAAGACTTAACATATGATGGTCAATTAATTGAATCAGATAATCAATTGATGGGTGGAATTGGTCAGTTGATGGATAATGTGGCCTATCTGGGCAATGTTACACTACTGTCAGACTCACATCCTACTCAACCTGGTTTTCATTTTGTTGGATGGCAAATCCCAAATAGAGATTTACGTATTGTCTTTAAATTTGATGAAGGTAAGTAATAATGGTGTCTTTTATACTTAGGGAGAAATTACTATTGATGTATTCATGAGCAATGAATTGTATTCCAAACTTTGTTCAGTAATAAATGTTATATCACTGTGCATATGATCCTCGGAGGGATAACATATTCTGAAGCCCTGGATGTACTCTGAAATGTAATGAATCACACGTATCTTACAATTAATCATTTTCGTTTATTCCTACTCTCTGATGTTGTTGATGATTGAAGTGGGAAAAACAAATAAACAAACAAACTGAATGAGTAATCTTCACAGGTGATGTAAAAACTCCTGGATATGCTATTCTTATATTCCATCAATTAAAATCCCCAACTATGACTTATTTGAGTAGTGTGGAACTAGCGTGTGAAGAATCAGCTCTGCAGTTATCTCGCTCCATCTTTGTTGAAGGTAATTTGAATTCCCTGTCGACAGAAATGCCCAATCTCTGTTGACATGTTGCCTGCTGGTACGGACTCTTTGATTATGTTAAAATCATGTCATTTTGCTGCTGCTGGTTAACAGTGGAATCCAGGATGCACATTTCATCCTGTCCCGGACTCTCTCGTCACTAGGGATAGATGTGCATCCAGATGATGCGTCCGAAATAGGATGAAATGAGCATCAACCAAATGAATTCATCATTGTTCACAAGCAATATGGTATCACAATGAAGATTTCTCAAGATGGTCAGACGAACTAGCGTTTACTTTTATGGTACTATACAAATGTGGTCCTTGTTTCGATTAGTGTTTTTAGTTAAAAGAAAGTCTCGAATACATCAATAGTGTATGAATACCAATTATTTACTGTGTCTCTTGAACAACAAAAGGTTCCTTTTAGTTTTCAGGGGAATTTAAATTCCTAGTTAACATAGCGTATAAGATTAGATGGTGGTTCAAGGTTAGAATGCCTCCCAGCCACACATGTGCTTCGGATTCGGTTCCTTACCGACGCACTGTCGAGCACCACTTAGCAGGTGGTAAGCTCGGAGAAGACAGAAGGTTGGTTGGGAGGAAAGCAAACTTTTTTCCGTAAAAACCAAACGGACCCTATTGAAACTTAAAAGCTTGAAGCTAGATGTGCCACTCTGGACGTGTATGAATGGAGAAAAGGCCACGGAATGTAGGGTGCACTATCAATTGTCAAATCATGGAATCGGCAAGCGTCATGTTGTATGCTGGGAATGTTACTTCTGGAAATCCTGTGCAACTTTGTTTGGAGTATGAATTAATGGCTTTGAATAAAACATTTGAATGTGCTTAGGTTTCACTTTTGTACAGCGGTAGTGTGTACATTTTTTGAAACGTTACACACTCCAACCAGACATTTTTCTGTTGCCTTCAGACTTTCAGTAGATTTTTGGTTGATGCTATTAGGTGATAAAAATTATCTCGAGGTTAATTCGTGTGTTTTTCCTCTACTGAAAAAGAGTCAACTGTTTTCTGAATATCTTGTCCTAATGAAAATTGACTGGAACCTCAAATTTACCAACACCGAATTTAGATTTGCAACCCCCTACAAACGGGTTTTTGGAAATCAACGTAGTCTGTTTCAACTCCTTCTTGAATCAACTTATCTGACACTGGATTTTTGAGACTTACCATATGGAGATTCAGTAAAGAAGTTTCTCTGAGGATAATTTGTACTTTGTTGCCATAAGCTTGATATACACCACTCGAGTTCACAGAGTGGCATAATTGTTCAGACTTTTAATCATCGTTTATTTTTGCACTGATGGATAGAATAAAAGCTCTTTATTTATTTATGCCTTTTTCTCCCTCTTCCTTCTTTCAACAGTGCGAAGTTTCATTTGGCTGAGAATATTTACATTTGACTCTATCCCACTGCAATCACGTGTTTTTTCAAGAGCTGTTGTTGAATTCAGTATGGATGGAAAGAGCTTCGGTAAACCAGTTGAAATTTTAACTAGTCGTGCACGTATGGTTGATCCTAATCAAATCAGTTCAACAAAACTATCAATATCTGATATGCATTCATCAAGAGTGAAAAGATCACCGAATTCAGTCAGTACACTAACTCAAGAAACTATTGTTTATAGTAATCGTGATTGGGATGGTGCACTGGTTGTACAAATGCCTTTGACCAGTCATACAGGACGTTATGTCAGTCTTACGCTAACACCAAGTGATTCATGGATTTTGTTATCTGAAGTACAGTTCAACTCTAGTAAGTTTTGTTGTTAAGTATATTTTTTGTGTGTGTGGCAGATACCGAAAGCAGAAATCTCTACTTGACCTAGTTTTGATCTAATAGATCAACTATGGTGTGAAATAATAATAATAATATTGAAGTTAATCTGAGATAGTTGATTGCAGCAGAATTTAAAATAGTGGATGGACTTCATGTTATCAGCTCAGCCCTCAATTTTTTCTTCAGTCACTTAACAGTCGGTTCTCATAACTCATAAGTGGAGAGCTGGGCGGCCAGTCTTGTGGTCTCTGAGTTATACAGTATGGTAACCCAGGTCTACTTTTCTGCAATTTTGACCACTATTCATTTAACAAAAATAGTTGACGGCCTTATTTGTCAACAAGATTTGGAAAAGATGGAATCATTAAGCGACCAGTCCTTTAGAAAACAAACGGCTTGTTTTACTACTTGATTAAATCATTTTGTAACACGTTTAAGCTTAAATGTGTTGTTCTAAATTTTACTATGGGAATATTTAATATATTGAAATCATTTTGTGACTAAAACGTCTAGTTTTAGAACTTCATAACTAATATACTTCCCAGGCGTTGATTTGCAATGATTGATTTCAAGCTTGACCACGAAATTACTTCACTTAGAGAATCACTGAAAACTAGGGAGTGCCGGTGTAGCTGTTTCGTCCATTTTGGGACTCTTCATCAGTATTCAACTGTGACTTCACTAGGGATCGAACCCAGGACCTTAGTGTTACATGAAGAGCTCGTTGGTCATTCAGCCACTTGGACAGAATCCATTGACTTATCAATTCTAACTTCTGTCATTTCACAACTCCCAGCCAATGTCATCGGTGAGTTTTAGTGACTAGTGGGTCCGGCAAATTGGGCGTGAGGATAGATGCTTGCCAGTTACATTGGCTGATGGTTGCACCAAATATCGCGAATTGGAAGAAATTAGAGTTTATTGGCCATTGAATTATATCAAGGAGCTCACCTTGTAACCCGTAGGTTCTGAGTTCGATCTCAGTTGGGGTCGTGGGTGCGCATTTTCGAAGAGTCCCAGGCTAGGGCGTAACAGCTGCCCCAGTATTCCCTGGTTCTCTTTTTTTATTATAGTTTGATTCCACACAGTATTTTGGTACAATTATGAAGTTTTCAGCATGTGATATCGGTAGCTCAAATTTAGCAGGCCGACCATAGATATCAGGTGTGCATCGTCCGGGGATCGAATCCTGAACCATGTGCATGGTCGGTGAGCGTCGTAACCTCTGTGCCACCGACGCATTTGTGATCGAACTTATTATACTTCTAGATAACTAATCGGTTAATTTATTTCCTGAGTTATAATTATTTTTAAATGTGTCAAGTAGTCATAAATCCTAATTCTAATATTAATAGAGCAGTGACAGAGAGATTCATTTTTTTTAAAAGCACTTTCCTACCTAGGTTTAAATTCATAAAGGAAGAACTAGGTCTAGCAGTTGTACTTGTGTTATTATCTTCTGGATGAATGTATAACACAATACGTTGCACCTATCATTACTTTGATACATTTTGTATGTAAATGATTTTGAAGGTTGTCTAAATTGAGGGTAGATTATTGTTGGAGGAAAGTGTTATAGAAAGGTATAAATTTCTGGTAGTTGAAAAATCACATCCACATCACATGTGCATCGGTGGCACAGTGGTTAGGACTCTCGCCGACCATGCACATGGTCCAGGGTTCGAGCCCTCGCCGACGCACACCTGATATCTATGGTCAGCCTGCGAATTTCGGGCTACCGATATCCACGCTGAAAATCCCATACTTGTACGGAGAATACGGTGTGGAATCAAGCTGTAATCAAAACATTAAAAAACATTAAACATATATCCTCAGTTGCTTTCACTAGTTGTTCAAACCTCAGATACTAAATTCATTTTTTGAGATAAATTTCCCCCTAATTCTTTCCACTGGGAGGGAAGTACTAAATTAGTATGGAATAGATGCTTGATGTTTCAGTCTAACCAACAATGCCTTAGTCATTTTATCAGGGTCAGTAATATACTACTTTAGTGAGTGATATGAGTAGTTGAAAACATCGATAGAGCTATGTAATTGCTTGTGTGTAGGGCAAATACAAATACTCCCTAATAATATCACTTCACTAACTAAATCAACTGTTGAACAGGTGCAGGTTAGAATATTTGCAGTTTCTATATCCATTTTCAGGCAAAGTTAAACTTTAATAACCATTTTCTACCAATCAGTGAATGACCTCGAACGCACCAATCACCTGAAGGAGGTATTTTTGTTTATGGAATACATATATTTATGAAAAAAATGCATAAAAACTGTGGAAAAGTGTTACAGAGGATACCTTCCTCTCAAGTGTGATCAAGATAGCTCGAACTCGAACCAACCCTAATGTCGCCTTTATTAGGTTAATCTAACACCTATAACTTGTCCTTAGCTTAAAGCGTAAATTATAATTTTTCCCAAACCTAAGCTGAAACTTGTTAAATATCCCATTTAATAGCATGACATTTAGATGAGGATATTTTATTGGTGATGATGACAAGATTATTTGCCAGGTTTCACTAACTTGCTTAGTGAGCGTTTCACAGTCATTGCTGTGGTCGCATTCCATTAGTAGTTAGTGGTGCTTAAAGTTTAACTTGCGTCATTTTCAAGACAAACTAACTATGTATAGTAATTTTTCATTAATATTTTCTTACTTCTCATGCTTACATGCACAACTAACTTAGTGCATTTTACTAAATTGTTATTATGATCTAACTTTGATTCTCTCTTAATAATTCAAATTCCTAACTGTTTATCTTAAAAGCTGTGTGTTACTGCTTACGTGAATGAACACATTACACATAACAGTGACAGTATGAAGTGTTGTATGCTTTTTCCCCTTTGTATATGATGTATTAACTCCCCATATATCAAGTCTAGACGACAATACATGAATACAGACATAAAGACATAATTATTTTTCAGGCATATTCTTTTTCTGTGACAAAAGAAGAATGAGAAAAAATGGATATCCTTTATTATGTATTCCCTTTAATTATTCTCCTCACATACTACTAAACGTTGAATAATAACACAAAAATGAGTGACTACTTATTATCACTGCTAGTAGTATAATTTGATGGTGGAAGGTGTTCTCCCCATACCTTAGTAATTAACTGTAAATGCTCACTTATCCTGAGAATATCACAAACAGGCTGCCCAAAGTTATTATTCGTTCTCCCTTAGTGTAATTGTTATAACTTTTAGTCAACTGGTGAATAGTGACTAGCAGTGGAATCTAGGATGTGCGTTTCGTCCTATTTGGGACCAGTTACTGGATGCACCTGCGTACTCCAGTGACTGACAATGTTCCCACTGAGTTTCGAACCCAGTACCTCTAGTTTCAAACACTAAAGCGCTATCCACTAGACCACTTGAGCCACAACAACCACCTCCTGTGCAGTGAGGGGTGGTTTGGACTTTCTTGTTTGGAACTATGGGTACTGGGTTCTAGTCTCAGTGGGAACACCATCACTCACTGGGGAATGCAGGTACATCTAGATGATGAGTCCCAAATAGGGACAAATTACACATCCTGGATTCCACTGCTAGTCACCATCCACCAATTGACTTCAAGTCATATAACCAGACATCGTCGAAGCATCTGCATAAGGAGCCGACATGTCAACCTGAGACCAAGCACTTCGGCCCAATCAATCGATGGGTGGCGGTGGCGGTATCTGTCAAACATGAGCTGTTTTATTTCTGTGCAATTTCAGGTTTGATCACACATTGACATCAGTTAGAGAGGACCATTACACATGGTAATATGTAGTGAAAGAAGACAGGCTAAAATATAATCGGATGATTTTTCTTTTTTCAAAAGTAATTGCGGATAAGGCAACCGGCACTGTGTGTTTATTCTTTGGTTCGGTGTAATGTTTTCTGATTAGGTTTATTAAGTGACAGTTTTCGACGCCAGCCTAAGCATTGAAGATTGTATATTTATTTGAAGATCTTTGAGTATAATGTGCGTTTCTGTGTGCTTTGACAGGGGGGGGGGAATTTTGCTCATCTGAGAATTACCACCGTAGAACAACTAACTATTCTTCTCACAAAATGTTATATATAGACCACTATTCGTATAAAAAAATGGGAATAAAATATCACCTCATATGATTGGAGATACTGACAGGAGACATTTTAATAAAGTTAGGACTGAAGATGTCACCAGGCGTAGTGATGGTATGTCCTCAATCAGTTATCAGAACTTGGAGGAGAGCAGTAAACCATTTCTGTTTTCATCCTGAGCTTGACATCTTTTCTATTCATGAAAAATCCCCATTCTAACATTAATAGAAAGAAGACCAGTGGTTCAGGGAAGAGTCCCTTTTTGGGGAATTCATTTTCACAGCTGTACAGTCTCAAATATATTTGGTTATTGTGTGTGTGTGTGTACATTAAATTTGTCGAACGAAAATACAATTGGCTAGGGTTGTTGTAACGAAGGTGGTGAAAATTAGTAAGTTTTGGTGGAGTTACGTAATACAAAAAGCGTTCAGAGGGATTATATATTGATACAGGAGGATAGTAACAAAGGTGATGAATTGTCACAAACGATTGTTAAGGAGGAGTAACGTAGTAACATGAATATTTTAATGAAAGCGTTATGTTCTGGGTGCAAATGAAAACAAAAATAAAACACGGAATTACGTAAGAGTTTCAAAGAAAATACAAGAGTTCTAAACAGTTTGAAAAAACAAGCAAACAAGCAAAATTAAGTCAAATCAACAGAGTTGTTACCATGATAGTAGAAGTGGTTGGATAATTTTCATTGGTATGCACAGTTCTGGTTCTTTCAACTGAGTGGCTAGGGCTTCTGCGATGCAAAGAAGATGGAAACTGATTGTCTTTGGCAGGTTGTTATTATTTCATTTCTGTTTTGGGAGGTCCGAAGGTGTTAGTGGAGGAATTTTTCTAACTTGATCCACTCCTTACGACACATATCACAAAGATTTGACTCATCTTTTATCTGAGACTTGAATATTCATTGCACATTACTACAGCAAGAGGTGTAATCATTAAGTGAATTGTGTAGAAAGGTTGATCAAAAGATGTGGTATACTGCCCTTTACTTTGTCTAGTCACCAGTTGGATATCAGTTAGCTGACATCTTTAAATAATAAACTATCTACTTTGAATGGCAGATATTTGACCAGTCAGTTGTTTCAAAAACATGATAAAAATTTTGTAATGAGTGTTCTATCTTGCTAAATGTCATTGATTGAAGACTTTTGGTTGGATGGAGTCCTAGTGGCTTAATGATCTACGTGTTCGCTAGCCTTGTAACCAGAATATCCCGGGTTCGAACCCTGGGGGCGAGTGCATACTGACGAAGAGTTTCAAATTAGGATGAAGCAGCTGGCTCTCCAGTACTCCCTGCAGGTTTTCCAATAGTTCTCTAAATGATCTCATCTTACGATGAAATCCTCCAACTTTTGGTTATATTATTCGAAACCGTTTACACTGCTGCATATATATGTATATATATATACTTTTCACCGGCTTCTCTTTTACACCTGTTTGTTTATTCCTGTTGTCTGTGTTCTACTGATGTGTATTAACCTGAACAGATACACATTTGTGCAAAGTTCCACATTGATTCATCAGTCAACTCGATGACGTATACCATTGACTGCTTACATTCTACTGTACTACTGCTAAAAAGCTAATACCGGTATAATTTTACTTATTCTCTCCTATATACAGCTATTGTACAACCGGAATCTTTATTAGCAAATAATGAAGAGGTTGATTCACTGACGAAATCGGTGGGTGGGAATTCTAACTCAGGTGATTCACATGAGCAGAACAGTCATCTAGATGTAAATTTATTCCGGAATTCACCATTGGCTGCTGATCCAGAGACAAATAAACAAGGTATGTGTTATTGTAATAGTAATAGTAGTAGTAGTTTCTGGCTTTTTATACGCTTTCACCTTGTAATATGAATTTACGTGTGTGTGTGTGTGTGTGTGAACATTTTTGAACTATCGACTATTAATGCTCAGTCAGATTAACAATTTGTAATTTTACACAGTTCCATATGAAATTTCATCACAGATTCCTTTGGAAACCGAAATTATTCATATCAAAATATGTGATCTGTTTGATACTACAAGTGGTAATCCAGAGACTCTATATTACTGATTGATTGAAATGAGTAGTTCTATACCACTCACACCAATCAGATCGAAGTGATGTAAGCATCAGACGGCTGTCTCGGTGTTTGCAGCTTTCACCTCGAACTGTGTAAATGTGAAATCGCGAAGTAATTTGCAAGTTGTGAATTTAATTTAGAGAATAACCAATTTGCCTAGGTAGGTATCTAGACAGAAATTGAATATTTGGATTATTATTATTGTTTTCTTTAATTCCTAGAGGAACCTAAGGTTTCAGCCACACGTCTCCATTGCGCGTTCGGTTCTCCGCCAACGTTTTCACCTGGCTCCACGTCTTCCCCATATGTCTTCATCTCCCCTTCACATTACCTCATCCATGTCACCCTCGCACTCACAACCAACTCGCCGCTCCCCATTCAGGTTCCACTCGAGCTATGGCTTGTCTAGTGATGTCACTTGATGGTTTCCTCAGCGTATGGCCAATCTATCTCCATTTCTTTCTGCCTATTTGTTTCACAATCAGTTCCTGGTTGGTTCGTTCACTGTCAGAGATCCCTGTTGCTTATCTTTTCTGGCCATCTGATCTTGAGTAGTGTTGAGCGAAGACAGCTGTTGATGAAAGTCTGTAGTTTGTTTGAAGTGCCATTTGTGACGCGGTACTAAGTCTCTGATCCGTATAGTAAGTAGCACTGACTTCACATTGCAGTTGAAAATCCGGATCTTATTTCCATTTTCATGCTGAGTGCCGTTGACCTCCATACAGACTTGAGAGTAATGAAAGCTTGTCTTGCTTTTCCGATCCTCGCTGCTTTGACATCCTCGTCAGTTCCGTCCGCCTGTAGTTGAAACGATGCTTCCCAGATCGGTTGGTGAAGGAGGTTTCTTCTCTCAGGTTCCTCCCATTTATGCTGGCTGATTGTTGTCTGTTGTTGTTGCTGTTGGTGTCGACCAGGAATCTTCATCACCTACCTCTGTTTTCTCTATGTTGACCTGAACGAAGTCCTATATTTGATACTTCTTCTGCCAACTTGTTGCTTTTCACTTGCATATCTTCCAGTTTGTGGGAAATCAGACATATCTCATCGGAGAATACTTTGAACTGATTCGGTTTTCGGAGCTGGGTACACCACTGATGAGCTCGATCCTAGATGAGCGAAACGGCCCTCCGGTATTTAGATCAATTCTATCCGGTTCGCGAGCGCCACTGATTATTAGAAGTGCTACACTACTACTCACCTCGACCAATCAATAGTATATAGTTGACCTTGAAATGAAGTTCATTTTGAGTACAAGTTGGAAAACCTCTAGAATGTGTAGTGGATTATCAGAGTAATAGTCTGTGAAGGTCTCAGTCCCATGTATACCTACTATTCAGAAGACAATTTAACTATCTCTATGATTGCTGTTTAACAATAAAAGTTTCCGTGAATAACTTTCATCTTTATTTCTAGGGTGAATTCTGTCATATAGTTAACAGCTAGATCTTTTGAGGCGTAGCCAGGTTCAGCTAAATAGACGAAAGCATTTCCAATACCTGAATACTTCATCTGAATAACACTTTATTTACCAGAGATCCCTAAGCACCATTCTGTGACTTCTCTACATTTCAAGTTCTTGATACTTGGTCCGGTTTAAGGCTGCCATTTTCGCCTTTTGTTAGTGGAGCTTTTAACAAATCACTTGATTTATCGTACAATAGGAATTGAAGATTCATTTTAGTCAAACCTTATGATATTATAGCAATAAGCGTACTCAAATTAATTACAGGATATAACAAAATTGTTTTAATATTGACAATATCTCATCTCAATGTGAGTACACATTGCAGGGTCTAAAATTTTCAGTCAACTGTTCTTTGAACAATCTAGGCATCTTGATATAAGTCATGTAGAATTCTTTAAAAAAAAACTGTTTTTGTTTTCCCCTGCTTTCTTATTGATTCATTTTTTCCCCACATGTATCGGAAACTAGAATTTATCAAAGGGGAAACCTTTTATGATCTATTTGTCTGTTTGTGTATTTTTGTATACATATTGATAGTAATAGTAATAATAATAATAATATCCATCTGCCCACATGCCAACAAACATATACACCCATACACGCATACAGTCATTTGCTTATTACTCTCTCTCTCTCTCCCTCTCTCTGCCGACAAACAAACCTACACATATCTATTATTCCGCTGTTTTTAATTTAATTTTTTCTTTGTTGTGTAACATTTTTCTGCGTCATTTCCCTTTTCTTTCTTAGTTTGCATGAAGCTTTTCCTCTTCGCAGAATTAATTAGATTATCTCACTAATATGCATTTGTGTTATTTTCATATATGTATGTATGTATGTGTGTGTGTGTGCGTGCGTACGTACGTGTGGTTGCGTGAGTACTGTATATGCGAGAAAGCAAGTTGACGTATATTTATATATACTGTTTAAACGTAAATTTGCCTAGCAAACTTTTTCGCTTAATGTTATATTAATTTGGTCTTCCTTATCTATGAGTTCATACAGTTGACTGTATTCCCTCTGTTTGTGTGTATGCTGTTTAACGAAACTTCCGTTGAATATACTCACACGGACACATGCATCAATGTGTTATAATACAAAAAAGAGAGAAATAAAGATAAACCGAGAAACAAGTTTTCCTCGAAATTGAAAGTAACGACAAAAGCAACAACTATAACAATAGATGAAGGATTAATTTCAACACTGTACTGAAGATGTGTGTTGGAGCTCTAAGAAGAAGAGCGTGAGAAATGACACAGAGAAGACACAGTCAAGCTGGATATCATCATCACTCCGGCCTAGTATTCTCATTTTCGTTAGTTCTCTTTTAGCTGTTGATAATTTCTTTCAGAATGAGAGTCGTAATAATAATAATAATGATAATAATAATAATAATAATCGAAGTAATAAGGGAAAAGTACATAGAATAATAAAATAAATAAATGTCTATCCCTCTACGGCCAAGGCAGCTGCCTTGGGATAGACATTTATTTATTTTATTATTCTATGTACTTTTCCCTTATTACTTCGATAATTTCTTTGTTTCCCTTTACTATCTTTTTCATTTCTTTCGTGAGAATAGGTACCTATACTTTTAGATATGATAGAGGAGATTTGTAGCTCAGGTGGATGACTTTGATGTGGTTGTGTTCTCTGAGCTGGATAGTTGATTTGCGAAGTTTTCATCACCCTACTAGGTGACATCTTCAGCGCATACTTCAATTCGTTGAAGTGAGCTTTTAGATTTCTCCACGAGTTTATTAATCATCTCTCCTGGTAACCATCAGGAACCTGGTGATTGGTTATTTTTGTGTGTTTTCACACCTTCTAGGCTACTTGTATTGGAACTGATTGTTTCTTTGACTTGAACTTTGACCATTTGTGTGTGAGGTTTCTTTCTTATCGGTTGATAAATTTTGTCTATCTCGATGTGTCTGTTGATTGATGATTCACTGGAATGCCAGTCAGGCTTCTAAAAATTCTCTAGCATTCTTGTTGTTTCCTCTGTCTAATATTTCAACGTTGTCCCAGCTGAATTGATGTCCGTGGTTGTCTGTATGTAGTGATATGAGGGAGTGGATATCATGTCGTTTGACGGCTAGCTTATGTTCGTGGATACGAAGATGAAGGGGACGTCCACTTTGGTCAATGTAGTGTTTTTCGCAGTTGTTACAATTTATTTTGTAGATGATGTTGGTTTTATCTTCTTTCGCTGTTGGGTCTTTTGGTTGACATAGAATTGAGTGAAGTGACTTTGTTGGTTTGTGTACGACGTCAATTCCTAGAGGTTCGAAGAGTCCTTTAGTGATGATGAAAGCTTCGCAAATCAACTAACCAGCTCAGAGAACACAACCACATCAAAAACTGGTTTCTTCTCTACAGTACTATACTCTGCCTTCCTCATGCCGTCACCCTTACTCTATTTCTCCAAGAATTGTTTGGAAGTAGAGAAGTACGGTATATGCAATATCTAGGACAAAGTGATTCTTCTGTGTTAAACGACCTGTTCAACTAAATAGTCCAAGCTAGACAAATTTTCGGCTTTCGTTAGCTCCAACCGTTTGTGAACTCACACGTAAATACAGCACATTAGCACACAGGAATATTGGAGAGGCGGTTCGTCTACAAGCATTGTTGGACACGTGCCCAAGAGTCTGCATGTTGAAGATTCTCTTGTCCGCTTAGATTTCATCCAAAACAGGAAAATAGTAATTGTATTTATCAAATATAATGCACACATCCTATTGCCATCTTTCTGTATATCAAACTTTGTTCCGAAAGGGGTTTCTAAGTTAGAATACAAGTTTTCAAGACATATAAACCAATATATATAGAGGTCTGTTATTGAGTAATATTTATGAGTGTTGAATTTAAAGGTGATACCGCAGCTGAGATTCTGATGAATCGCTTATGCAGATCACTGAGGAAAGTCTTCTTTGTGGCTGAGCTACGTATCAATTTCTACAGCCGACAAATGATCAACGGATGTGTGAAGGATAAACTGCCGCTTTGGGCCACCTCAATGTGTGTTTATAAATTCACCTGCTCGTGTGGAGCTACTTATATTGGCCGCACAAAGCGCACGCTTTCCAAACGCATCTCTGAACATTATCCGGCATGGTTAGCAAAGGGACAATGTAAGACAATTACTAGCTCATTTCTCGAGCGTTTGGTGAACTCAGGTCACGTAGCTCCACCAGAGTCATCTTTCAACATCATCTACAAAGTGAAGGTAAATGGTACAAAGGGTGTCAG